TTACAAAATTGCCAATGCCTGAATTGCAATAGCGGGTGCCTTTGAACCGATATTAAAAGTCGCCTATAAAAGACAAATTTCATACCAGTGTCATCTCAACAGATTTTCTGACCGAACTTCTGACCCTCACCAATTCTCCACTCGATGTTCAATTGAAGTGATCTAAGTGTCAGTGGCTCCAAGCTTGAAGGTCAAAGGCAAACGATGGTTAGACAATAGGGATCAAAGGAAAAAGAGACTATCATTTAGTCTATCTTAGGCCTCCTTTTAAGTCTATCATGATTTCTTTTATGTTTTTTATGCAACAATTCTATGTATGGAAAAGTGAATGTTGGCACCATTCTTTTGTGTTTTGTATGGATCCATTATATGTAGATTTGCCATGATTTCTTTTGTGTTTTGTAGGCAACTATTTTGGCATGGAAAAGTGATTTAGCAGTGTTCTCATTATAGACTTGACTATGTTATAACTTGATAACTATTTTGATTAATGTTATTATTATGTTGGCCAACCTTTAATGGTTTATTGTTCATTCTTCTATTTTCACAACAATTCATTATAGTTCACTTTAGTTGTTCAATCTTCATAAATACATAATAAATATAGGCACAAAGAAACATGGGTAGATATGCCCATTTCAAATTTCTACAATAAATGCGTAAAAACATAATTTTTCTTAAAAATTTCCAAATATTCTGGTCCCAAACAAAAGGCTAAAGAGTCCACATGCCCATTAAAAAAAGATACTATATTCCCATGAACAAAGTAACAACTAAACAACTTGGGTACTTTAGGTACTTTTCTACACAAGCCAATTTAACCGAAGGAACACCCAACACAATATAAAGCACCCATTTCCATTTCCATCTTCAGCTTCTTTTTTGTCTCATCAAACCCATGTATAATGCTATCAATTATGCTTTGCGACCTTCTTCCTTCTCTCTTCTTTGTGCATGCAACCCTTTATTCTCTTCAATCAACCACTCAATATGACCCAAAAGCTCCATAATAACCTCATTCAGCCTTTTCTTCATTTCATCATCTAGCCATGAGAAAAAAATGGCATCCACCTTGAAATTCATACTTAATACTTAGTGCCCAGGCCAACAAACTCATGTCAAGGGAGATTAGTACTAACACATGCCTAGTTGTAGTTTTCACACCAAAAAATTATTCTTCCAAGATTGTTCCCAGTCCACAATGTCCACCTTAGTGCAATTTCTCTACATAAACAATACCTCAATGGAGGTAGGGTAATCCACTTCTCCAACTTCTTGGCTTCTGGATGCGACACTCCTTTGAATGAAACCCGATGAAGAACCTGCAGAATCGCCTACAAAACTTGCTCACGACATTGTATTCATCTCCAACAAGTAGCTCATACTTTGTCTAAGATGAAGACAAACACGGAAGATGATCTATGGTTTGCTTAAGCTTCAATAGTTCAACTTAAATGCCTTGCTATTGCTCTTTTTTTTTTCCTTTCTCCAGAGCTAAAAATGCCTCATAACTCAGTAAAAACAACTCATCTACCAACTCAACTAATGATCCAGCATACATGGTTTGCCAAATGTGCAAAATCATGGGCCCCACAAATGATCAAAATACATTGACTATAACGGCAGGGTAACAAAGCAAAGAATCTGAGGTTGAGAGATATAAATGACCTATAGTTGAGTTTAGGGTCATTTGTAACCTTTCATATATAATTTAAGGACAAAAATGACCCTTAACTCTTAATAAAAAGACATTGTTATTTCTTTTCTTTTCCAATTAAGTTTGAACCGATAGAGATTAAAATTTTTGGGCTTTTTTTTGTATAAATGAATCAAAATCATATGCTAACACTATTGACAGTAACAACAATAGAATGGCTGTAATAGCATCAATCATGCTGATGATTAGGATTCACATCATTGCTTATTATGTTACATCTGAACTTTTATTTGTAATGTATGATTCAGGATTGAAATAATTGTTCTCAATCATGCTTACGGAGTTGCCTGCAACTTTTTCGTTTCCTTGAGGGAACTGATCAAATCCTACGCGCACTGAGTAATTTGGATGTGAATATTATAGAAGTCACTATTTGTTGTTCTAAAAGGAAACCACGTGTATGACCAGTTGATCTTATAGCTCACTCTAATAGATTGATCTCTTCACATCTCCTCAAGGCCTTGTAGAACATGGTCAAGTGCACCTTCGGTAGGAACGCCCCACGGTTTCTCTAGTTAATATTCGTTTGAAATCTCGAGGAGGAAAATATTTTACTAATGATGTTATTTGATATGATACAAGTGAATACTCAAAAAGGGAAGGATACAACGGATCTTACTATTCTCCTACTTAAAAAGACAAGGATGGCAACTAGATGCTGGTTGGAGAAGCAACAATAAAGAAATAGATGATATAAGTATATATTTGAAGTTAACAACAAAGAAATAGATTATATAAGTATATATTTAAAGTTGATATAGATGATATAGGTATACTTGGCCAATTTTTGGGTTTTGGAGCTTTTTTTTTTGCCACTAATTGATTTAAGCTAAGCTATTTCAAAATGAAAATAGCTTTTGCGTAGGAATTCATAATGCATATTTCATGTACATGATTATTGTTGGCTTCTAAAATTCTATTTCTAGGTGTTGGAATTTGGTTCTGCAATGTACAATGAGGGCGTTGCTAGAAATGCAACCCCCTATTTTAAAAAATTTTGGTCATAATATTAAATGGTTATGAAAAAAAAATATTTTATATTTCAGAATATTAAACGATTCTGGCCTTAGATTTGTTTAATATTCTCATAATATTAAACTGTTTAATATTCTGATTCCCAATTTCTCTTCTCAACACCTCAAACAAATATGAAATGGTTTTGGGTTAAAAACCATACAATAAATCAAGAATTATTGAACGGATAATAACTGTTGAATAAGGGTTTCAAGAATATTCAACACCTAATTATTTAATAATTTATAACCATTCAATATTAGTAAAAATAACCATTTTATATTTCTTTTTTGTAGTAATGAATGGTAATTATACTAAACAAGTTAACAAAGTTAATTATTTTTTTTATTTGGGTGGAAATTACCCTCCAAAAAAGAAGTTGAAATAGTTAATTTTTTCATAAAAATTAGTAAAAGGTAGAACCTTTGTTCATGAAATTGTATTTCTAATTTAATTGTGATATATATGAATAATACCATAAGCTTGATAAAATTTGAACATAAGTTAAAATTACATTTCCACTCTAAAAGAAATAATTTTATATATGCCCGCATACATACATTGATTTCTTAATTTGAAGGAGGTAAAAATCGTTAGACTTTTCAGTTACAACATGACAAATGGGGATGTCTAATAAAATGACATGTCAGGGTATACCTTTCAAGGAAACAATTGTATGATTGTGGCTAATAAAATGGCAAGCCTTTCAAAGTATAAAACACACACACGCACATATAAATAGGATTAATTAAATCTAAATCATGAAATGATCTAGCTAAAAGATTTGCTCATTTAATTGCGTGTTTATAGACTAGGTATTGCTTGAAATTTGAATTCTTAAAATTTGTTTAGTCTAAATCCTTCTTTAAAATATTAAAAAACCATTCATTTTCAAAAATTACAAGCAACATGGGTATGCTTGCCTTTTCATGAAGTAGCTTTCCTTGATCCTTAACTATCTTTCATGACTGGCTCCTTCTCGTAATCCACGTTCTTGGGTTTTTTAGACTCCCGTTGGAACACCTGGCCATAAGTAGGGATCGATTTTCTTGCTCACCCTCAAAATGAAATCTAGATCATTCAAATTTTAATTTGAATGATTCAAATTTAAAGTATTATTTTATATTATATTTATTAAAATAAAAATTTATACAAATTATAAAATAATTTTAAAAAATTTTTTATTTTTAATCTGATCTAAATTTAATTTAGAAAGTTCAACTTAATATTAAAATTTTTATAATTGATGGATATTGATTATTCAGATGTACTCTGCATAGTCCAGATAAAAATATCCATCAATTATAAAAATTTTAATATTAAATTAGACCCTCCAAATTAAATCTCAATCAGATTAAAAATAAAAAATTTATTAAAATTATTTTATAATTTTTATAATTTTTATTTTAATAATTATAATATAAAATATATAACAATACTTTACATATGAATGATTCAAATTAAAATCTGAATGGTTCAAGTCTCATCCCAAGAATCGTAAGGAAACTAATTCTTTATAGATATAGTAACTCATTTTCAACTTTCATACCTATTAAAAAAATAATTAAATATTTCATCTGGTTTTACTTATTATTCACTAGCAGCACGTTTGGTTCAATCCCATTGCAATCCTGCAATTGTAATCTTGATGCCATTACCACATGTGTGTGTTTGGTTAGACTTTTTCATTGGGTACAAGTGATAATAATTTAAAAATAAACATTCAAATATTTATATACAACTAATAAAATTGATCTGAGTTTGTTAACATTAATTAATTGTTGGAAGAATTAAAAAAATACTAGCATCTCGCAATTAATATACAACTTTCTCAATTTGTTAACTTTTTTTAGTTCAAAGAGAGATTGTCTTAGATTATTATTTTAAATTCAAGCTGTTTTCAAATCAATGTAATAAAAAAAAATTGTTTTGAAAAATAACTTTTAAAAATAGTTTTTAAAAATAAAATTGGGAACAAAATCATCAAACAAGTCCTAATTTTTTTTTCTCAATTCTTTTGTATTTGAATTGATTCATATCACTCCTTGCTCTCCTGGTTAAATTCTGTGTTGGAAATTTCATAGATAAGAAATTTCATGCAAAACAAGTCATTCCTAAGCCACATGACTCGTATTTTGCTAAATTCTGCGCCAAACATAAAGTTCACCTATTTATGTTGTCTAATTATATATTTATGTGCAGATATAAAAAGAAAAAAGAAAAAAAAGGCATGTTAGAGTTTGCTTTTTAGTTGTTACTGTGAAAAAAATGAAGTGTTGATTAAAGTGAACGCCACATTGCAATAAAACTAGAGTGATGATGATACAATTTAAATCAATTATAGCCAGAATGACTAAAATGAAAATAATCAACCCCGTAAGTTAATAAACAGAAGAAATATTTATAATAATGAACTCCAATCGGGCATGTGGAATAGCAGAAGGTGAAAGAACGATTAGGGTAAGTGAATGATGGAATGCAAAGAGAGAGAGATAGATCCAAGAGAGGTGGAGTCCTTTTGTGAAACTGAGAGAGTGAAAGTGATCTCAAAATTGAAACTTGCGGAATGTTGCTACCTCCTGCATTGCCAATAACTTCACTCTCCTTTAATTCCAAGTGTGTCAGTAGTGACCAACGAGTAATGCCACTGAGAAGTCTGATTAGTGGCATTTCAATGTTATTTGTTTGCAGCATCAACTCATCCTCTTGTTCAACTTCCTTATCATTATGATTATGATTATGATTAACCACTTGTCTTCTCATGCTTTTATCTCCTTCATGTCTCCTCACCCTCACATCAACTGAAAAATCAAAAGACCACTTGTGGTTGAAACAGAAGTCAGAGGTATAATGATGGTTGAAGCCCCCAAACTCAATTGGACCCTTTGACCACTCAACTTTCCTAACAAATGGAAGTAAACATGCCAACCTTTGTGCCCCCATTTTTAGCTCTTCCATTTCCCTGTTCTCCAATGGCATTACCACGTGCTTGTATTCAACACCACAGATAATCCTACCCTCTTCACATGCCAACACCTTCATCATTACTTTATTGAATGACAACTCGCGAAGGTTCAAATAATTGCCAACACACACCAACCCTGAATTTCTACCTTTCATAGTGTCACCCATCTTTATCTGCTTTCCCCCCCTAATAGATAGTACTAAATTAGTAAGCTTGGGCAAGACGGTTGAAGAATGGATTTGATCCAAACATTCACAGCCATCACCACTTAACCATTCAATATTTGGGGCTTGAGCTAGATCAGGGAGTGCCGTGAGATATCTCGAGCCACTTATTTGGATCCCCTTTAAATTTGGAAAATGCTACAAACAAAAATGTGTTTAATGAATTAGATAATAACTAAATAATCTCATCATTAATTCCTCTTAATCCAATTAAAAATGAGACAATTTTATCAAGGAACTCAATCTACACATTTAGAACATGAACTGGATTTAAGGCAAACATAGTTGGTCTGCTTCCTCCGATATGCTGTGACTATAGTATTACCATTAATGTCACACTGAAGCAAATTAACATGTGCATTGTGAATTATTTGATCATTGTCTCATGCTTGAAATATCTACAAATTAAAGATCAAAAGAGGTTCTTTGAATGACATCAAAAAAATAATTATCTTTGGAAATCAGAAAAATGATACGTACCACATCTCCATTCCAAAGCTGTTGGATATCACTTTCAAGCATTTGAAATTCAACAAGATTCTCCGCACACAAGTTTAATGGCACATATGATAGAGGACAATGTTTCCAACTAAGAAACCTTAGTTCCTTCGAAAGATAATCCACATCTTGGCCAATATTCATGATCTCTAAAGTCTTCCTCCAATCGGACTTGTAAATATTAAGGTATATTAAGTTATCCATGTTTTGCAATTTAATAGACTTCAATGTCTTCCTTTTTATCTTGCTCATGTCCACCGATAGGCATCGAATTGCCTCCTCCCCCTTGTAAGAAAATCCACAGGAAATTAAAACACACAATTATTATTACATAAACAATGGCAAAAAAATAAAAATAAAAAATCACAAAACAATCAAATATACTTGCTTTTCCAAATATCTAAATCAATACTGTTACTGTGTGATTAATTTAAACATTCTTTCAATTCATGTTTTCTTGAGAATCAATGAATTCCTCAAAATATACGCGCACCCCCATTCATGCTTAGATATGCACTTACACCTTAATGTAACATTAGTCATTTGAATCGTGAAAGGTTTTCTGAAAAGAGCAAACTAATGAAAAAGAATTGGAAAAATTAATCTTTTAGTCCTCTAACTTTTAAGTCACTTGTCACTCAGTCCCTCAATTATAACTCGTTGTGACTCAGTCCCTTAACTATAACTCGTTGTGACTCAGTCCCTCAACTATAACTCGCCTATGACTCAATCCCTCAACTTTTGAATCACTTACAAATTAGGCCCTTAACCTTTGTTATTTTTTTTTCATGTTAACTTATATCTCACATTAATAAATAAGAAGAAGGTATTTTAAAATAATATATGAGCATTTTTTTATCCCTCTTATTTGATAAAAAAATTTAAAAAAATTAAAAAATAAGGACCAAGTTATAGGTAAATCAAAAGTTGAGAGACTGAGTTACAGCGAGTTATAGTTGAGGGACTGAGTCGCAACGAGTTATAATTGAGGGACTGAGTTACAAGTGAGTTAAAAGTTAAAGAATTAAAAAATTAATTTTCTCAAAAGAATTCAAAACACAGACAAAACAAAAGACACGAAAACGTCATCGTTTTTGTTAAAAAAATCTAAATGAATACGCTTTTTCTATGCTGATACCCTTATATAGACAATTTTATGACTCATTCAAACTTGTACGTCCACGAAAATTATTTTTTTAAATAAAATCACTAAAATTATAATTTACTATTGCAAACATCATACTAGTCATATACTTTTGTTTTGTTTATATAATCTATTTCAAAGCCTCAGAAGACGAATATGTCACACTCAAGCCAAAAGCTCCGTCCCAAGTAATTTTAGTATTTAAATCAAGAAATGAAATCTTTTACGAGCAACCTAATTAAAAAACTTAGGACATCAAAAACTGAAGAACTTCAAGATAAAAATTTGAGACCCAATGCAATATTAGTCATTTAAATCAAGAAAGGTTTTCTTAAAGAAGTAATCTAATTAAAAAGAAATTCAACACATAAAACCAAAACAGAAGAATTTCAAGATAAATAAATATTCACGTCCACTTACCACCAAAGAGTTTATTGAATAAAAAAAATATGCACACAAATAAATATCACTAGCTAGGAATTTAATAATTAAGATGATAAAGACACAAGATAAAGAAATAATAATAAACAGCAGTTTGGATTCAATTGATACCCTGTTACTCATGAAAAAATCATCAATGTCCTCAGGCCTCCATAGTCGAACAGGGCGTTTAGGATCAGAAAATAACTGTTGTCTTGCAATTTGAAGGCCCATTTCCCTCACAAGATCATGCATGTTAATATAGCCATCGTGATCAAATGAAATGAGGGATCTCTCTCTAAGAACACTTGTATCAATATCTGCAGAAGAGCCATGTATTTGCCTTATTGTGTTCAAAGAAATCTTAACTCCTTCCATAACTAAAAATGATATCTCAAGAAACACGTTCTGTTGTTTGTCATCCAATCCATCAAAAGTCACTTTGAGAACATCGACAATGTGCTTGGGTGGATCTTGATTCAGTTTATCCAAAGCACTTGCCCACTCTTCTTTTCCTCTACCGTGAAGAAAGCAACCCAATACTACCAAGGCTAATGGATTTCCTTGACAATAACTCACTACTGACTTTGATAATTTCATATAACCTCTAGATGGCTCATTTTGCTTGAATGCTCTCAAACTGAAGAGATGAAAGGCATCATTGAAATCCAAACTCGGAATATGATATGCTTTTGCTGAAGCATTTTTAAGCACTTGCATGTCTCTTGAAGTGATGATAATTCTACTTCCTTCTCCAAGCCAATTAGACACTCTAGTTAAATCTTCAGCAATTATTGAATTGTCCACATCATCAAGTATGAGAAGGATTTTTTTGTGTTTAAGCCTGTTTCTCACAAAAGGGGATTTTATGTCATAGATGTTAATGTCCTCATCTTTTAATAATTCTACAAGGCAATTTTTCTGCAACTCATCCATTCTAATTCTTGCTAATTGCTCTTTCACATTTTCAATAAAGGAGAAAGCATCAAATTGAACTTTCAGCTTTTCAAATATAGCTTTAGCAATTGTGGTCTTACCAGCACCGCCCATACCCCAAATTCCAACAATGGGGGCCTCATCTAGAAGTTTCTCAATATTTTCAATATCACGAGCAATGCCAACAAGTCCTTCAAGATGAGGCGATGGCTCATAGTTTAACTTGCTCAAAATGTCTTTGACAATCTCTTCAACAAGTTTGGATTCCGGTCTGGTATAAATGTCAATTAAGAAAGTCATATTTACTAGGTAGAAAATATAGAATAAAAACAACTACTGCAACAATCTAGTAGAATCCCAAATAAAAACAAAATATTTATGAAGGTACCTGATACTATTGGTACTATTGGAATCCCATCCAGAGAGACTTGCCGATTGGTCCAAAGCATCTCTCCATTTTTGCAATTTTTCTTGATTGTGTTTAAACCTCCGCTTAAGTTTAGCAAATCCATATCCAAAACTCCCATTTTGTTTGCGAATATTTGATGGATCTACATTGTAGAAAATAGGGATGACAATCCTTCCATGTTTATCCTTGCATTCTAAGATGTGAACAAGCTCATCCATACACCATGTTGAAGAAGCATAATCCTTAGAGAAAATAATCACAGAAATTTTTGATTCCTCTATTATTTTCAAAAGAATCGGTGCGATCTGTTCTCCTTTTCGAAGTTTGTGATCCATAAAAGCGTGAATGCCTACATAGTGAAGTTCTTTGTATAGATAGCGCAAAATTGTTACGAGTGTCTTCCCCTCTAAAACTAAGGAATACATCATACTTAGTTGTAGGAGTAGAAATATCCACATGAGAAGAAGCCGTGGAAGTTGAATCAACATCATCTTTACAACTTCAGGTAGAAAGAAATCATCAATAAATATTGGGTTATGAGCAAGCCAAACAAAAGAAATAGTGAGAATTGGGTTATTTAGAAGAAGTTACCGAGGAGAGATTCTGAAAGCTTTATACATTGCTGCGGCCAACAGCACCGAACCAATTGCGGCAATCATGGTTAGCAATTTCTTTCTTCAACGTGATACTAGACCCTGGTTTGTTGGCTTTGCCTTCTCAAGAGCTTATACTATATTGTTCGTGTTAGCTACTTTTATCCACCCGTGAAGGGATCAATCCTAAATCCAAACAGACTATTTGAGATTTAGATTTAAGATATATAATTAGAATTAATTGTTTTAGATCATTAATAAATATCTTATCTTTGGTTGAGACATGGATCTTAGTAAGAAATAAAATCATATTATGTCATATTCTATTTCATAAACAGGGCGTCCTACCAATTCTCATTTGATAAGGCGCACAAATATTTCTATCAACTATATTAAATTTTATTTTACTCTACACACTTAACAATTTGTTCAAGAATGAAAGAATCAACCCCTCCAGCTTTCAAAATTCAAACCAAAAATAAAAACCGAAACTGAGCAGAAATATAATTAGAAGTAAGGAGTGAAAATGAAACAATGAAGATGAAATCACTATATATAAACGAAATTGCTATAATAATAATGCATGTTCTATGTATGCCAATACAATGGGGAGTGATTAACATGAACTGATGAAAGAAAGAACAAAGACTTGGCTTTTGGAATTAAAAAGAATAAAAGAAATATGTCGTTTACTTAATAAAAAAAAAATTGAATAATATAAACGAAGACTTTCACCAACAGATCAAATTTCAAGTCCAACCGCGAATAGTTAAAGGTTCGAGCTTTGTCAGATCTACGACAGTAAGCTAGCTAGAAAAAGAAAAGAGCAAATCTTTTGCAGATTTTTCGTCTGGGGAAAATAGCAGAACAGTAAAAATCAAGCGAGCGGAAGAGAAAAGAGAAGGATTATATATAACCTGAATGGACGTGGATGGAAGAAGCAAAAGAGAGCTCACAAGGTATCAAAAAATGCAGCTTTGATCGGAAATTGTTGACTTCCTTTCCGTTGTCTCTCTTCAAACAAGCTCTTCAGATTCAGAGATCAGGAGATGCCTTACCTTTCATTTCTCTTCACTCTCGGTCTTTTTTATATTTCTTGGAAGCTAAGCGTGTCGTTGGTGTTGCGGTGTTGCACTGCTACTTCATTGTACATCTTGGGCAGCTTTAGTAAAAGTCAAAACATGAAAACCGATTACAAATAAATGAAGGCTTTTTATATGATGTTACTTGGTACAATAAAATGTTATACAGGGAAACGACACAAATCCCACTGTTAAAAAATATAATATAGGTCTTACATTATAATTTCTTTCACATTATGGTTCTCAAGCGAGTGGTTTCTTCTTAATTATTTTGATTTAAAGTTCCTTCTCACATCATATTTGATGGAAGAGAGTTCTTTAGATGGAATAACAAATTGAGATACATATTCTCACCCAATCTCTTCATTTTAATACTTTTTTCCTCCTTCCAAAGATGGCCTTGTGATCAGCCGGTCAGGTCGTCCCTAGCTTCAGAGGTTATTGTCGCCTTTGTCGTTGTTTGTTGCATTACCGCGTTGCCGTGTTGGAAAAGTTAGGATTGAAATGACCCACATATTGATAAGATCACATTTATGTCAAAGAAAAAAAAAAAATAGGATAACACTGGAGATATTACTATTGATGATTTCTTCACCCAAGTTTTATTAAGAAGGTATTAAAATAAAAATTTTTACAACATTAAAATTTCTCAAAATGGTTAAATTACTTTCGTTACTTTTAAAGTTATACTAATATTTTTGAAATTATTGTTCATTAATTACTTTTAATATGATGTGACTAGGTACAATAAGATGTTATATAGGAAAATGGGTTTTCACTCTCAAAAAAAAAAAAAAAACATACAAATTGAGGATAAAAAGGTAAATGACACAAATACCACAGTTAAAAATATAATATAGGTCTTACATTATAATTTCGTTCACATTATGGTTCTCAAGCGAGTGGTTTCTTCTTAATTATTTTGATTTAAAATTCCTTCTCATATCATATTTGGTGGAAGCGATTTTTTTAGATGGAATAACAAATTGAGAAACATTTTCACACCCAATCTCTTCATTTTAATACTTTTTTCCTCTTTCCAAACATGGCCTTGTGATCAACAGGTCAAGTCGTGCCTAGCTTCAGAGGTTATTGTCACCTTTGTCGTTGTTTGTTGCATTACCACGTTGCCGTGTTGGAAAAGTTAGCATTGAAATGACCCACATATTGATAAGATCACATTTATGTCAAAGAAAAAAAGATAAGATAACACTGGAGATATTAATATTGATGATTTCTTCACCCAAGTTTTATTAAGAAGGTATTAAAATTAAAAAATTTTACAAAATTGAAATTTCTCAAAATGGTTAAATTACTTTCGTTACTTTTAAATTTATACTAATATTTTTGAAATTATTGTTCATTAATTAAATTTTTCTCCTAATCAGGTACAAGTGGTAATGATTTACTTTTCAAAAAAAAAAAGATATTATTCTACTCCCTCCAATTCTCTTTGAGTCACATCCTAAAATATTTTCTGGCCCTTCATACGAGTTATTTTTTCTTTTCTTTTTTTTAACATTTAATATACAATTCCAAATGTACCTTTCAGTAAATTTTTTTTAAAATATAATATTTTAATTTTTAAGAAAATTCTTCTTACACATCAAATTACTCTTTTTCAAATTTAGGAATAAAATTAAAAAGTAATTTATTTTTTAAATAATTTTTTTATTCTATCTAATTTATTTTGATTTTAGTAGGTAAGTTAAAAGTGATTTATTAAAAAAAGGAATATTCACTGAATATGGAATGGGACATGATGAAGGTGAGAGCATCATAAATAAAGGAAAGTAGGAAATAGTTAGGGGTGTTCATGATGCCTGGTTACCCAGTTTGCCCACCTAAACTGGGTTATTTTTTCCCAACCTGGCCAATAAAAAGCTTGAAATGTTCTATGCATGTTTGGGCTGGGCAATGTGCGGGCAGGGCTGGGCAACAGGCAAGTAATGCAGCCCTACTCGTTTAGCCCAGCCCGATTTTTTTAATTATTATTTTTTTGTTCAAAGTTTAGACTTATTGAGAGTGAGAGGGAATTGGTCACGGTCAGATAAAAAGAGGGAGGGAAAAGATTAGGGTTAGAATTTTTCTACTGCCAATTTGCCATTTCCCTAGTTGAGAGCCCGAGACCAAGAGTCATAGGAGCGACTAGCGAGTGAGCGACAGGTGACCATGACTGAGCTCTTCTTTCCTTTCCAATCTCCTCTCCCATCTAAGCTCTTAAGCTTGAATGAAGTTAGATCATCTCCTAAATCCCATCATTGGCGTGTGAGTATGATGATCCCATTCCCTCCCATCTGTGAATTAATGCTTAATCTTCGCCTTCTCTCCCGTGTGTGAGTGCAAGTGGCAGTGCGACGTGTGATTGTGCGAAGGAGCTTGTGCTTGACTGAGCTCAGCATCTCTCGCTCTATTACTCTCCAATCTTTAGTCTCCACAGCTGCACAGCATAATGCCGTTCCTAACTTCCTTCTCTAGTCTCTCAGTTTATCACTCTCGTCACATAAAAGCTCTCATCTGTCTAAGTTCATGATCTATTGCTCTTGTTGCACAAAAGGTCTTGTTTGCCCAGGTTTACGGTCTCATCTACCCAAGGTAAGATTTTCTCTTAATTTTTTTCCATAATCTTGTCATGGTTCCCTATATTACAGAAATATTTGATTTGAGTAGCCCTGTTTTTAGACACTTTCCCTTGAGGAGGTTCCTGGTTTATGTTGTGAAATTTTTGTGCTCAAAATTGATCTAATGTATTTCTGCTAAGAAATACTAGGCTTGGATGTTCAGTTTAAAACCTTGTCTACTTTCATTGCACTAATTTCTGAACCTGTGGTTTGGCAATGCTACGGCCATCTGAAGCTTTCTGTAACTAATGCTTGGGTTGGTTGCATATATACCTCAGTGCAATTATATCACATTTTGTAAGGTGTTTTCAATTTTCTCTATTTTTGGTTGCATTATTGCATATCACATCCCATGCTACATGCATTTTGAAGGTCTGGTCTGGCCAGAGTTAGATTTTCTCTTGATTATTCTTATGCCAAATTCTGCCTAGGAAGCCAAGAGAAAGAATTGAATTAATGGAATTGGATTACATTTTAGACTTGGATTACGTTTATGTGTGTGTGAATTTATTGTTGGACTTGGATATATTGTTGGACTTAGATTTGCACTTCTAAATGGATTTATGTGTGTGTGAATTATTGTTGGACTTGGATTACATTTTAGAGTTATATGTGTGTGAATTAATGTTAGACTCGGATTAGATTCTTCTTAACTAATAATTTATGGTTCTATATTTTCTTATGCTAGTATGAAGGATCAAGCTTCGATTGCATCATCCTTTGAAACATCTCAAACACCAACCCTTACTAGACCTTCCCATTCACTAACCCCTACTAGACTACACAAACCCCAACCCATACTCCTCCTACACAAACAGCAACCCCTCCCCCTGCACCTCTTTCTCTTCCCCCTGTGCTCCTTCCACCCAAACACCTACAAAACATGTCACACAAGTGACAGATGCTGAGAGAAGGGGTCAAAAAAGGAAAGAAAAGGAACCCAAGCATAGATCACAGGTATGTGATTATTTTATTAGGTTGCCTATAAAAGAAACTAATAGGGAGCATAGAGCAGCATGCAAGTATTTCCACACGACTTATGCTTCTGATCCATCATGCCATGGGACACATTCTTTGTTGAGGCACATCCCAAAGTGTCTAAAGAACCCTCATAAGGCCACCAAAGATAAGAAGCAAGTAATGATAAATATGTTATCTGGTAGGACAAGTAGGCAAGGAAAATCTTTAATCACTCACTTATATGATGAGAAGAGGTGTAGAAGAGCTCTTACTGAATTTATTATTTCTAATAAGTAGTCATTCAAAATTATTGAGAAGTCTACATTTAAGAAATTGTTGAATGAGTTAGAACCTCACTTTCCAATCCCTTCAAGAACAACAATTGTGAGGGATGTGTGCCAGTTATATCTTGGTGAAGTAAAAGTGCTAAAGAAGATCTTGAAGCAATGTTCTAAGTGTGTTAGTCTCACGAAAACCTCACTTTCCAATCCCTTACAGATTACTAGATGTCAAACCAAAATTTCAATTACTTGTGTTTGACGGCAAATTTTATTAACAATGAATAGAAGCTTCATAAGAGGATCCTAAGTTTTGTTATGATTGAAAATCATAATGGTGAGACTATAGGGAAGACCATTGAGAAATGCTTGTTGGATTGGGGTATTGATAAGGTGTTCATTATAACTATAGATAATGCTTCATCCAATGACATGGCTTTGGGACATCTTAAAATGAGGTTAAGAAGTTGGAAGGGCTTAATTTATGGAGGAGACTATCTACAATTAAGATGTTGTGCACATGTTCTTAATTTGGTAGTCAATAAAGGCATCAAACATATGAAAGATAGTTTTGAAGCCATTTGAAGTATTGTGAGATATGTTCGGTCTTCTCCTTCACAGTTTCTAAAGTTTAAAAAGTGGGTTGAACCTAAAAAAACAGAAGCCAAGAGCCTTGTCTACCTTGATGTCAGTACTTGACGAAATTTAACAAATTTGATGTTAGAAGCTATAATGAAGTTTCAAAAAGTGTTTGAGTAAATGCATGATAAAGATGATGACTATATTGCATTCTTTAGCTTTAAGCAAGAGGGAGGTGTTTTCTTCAGTCCTATTCTTGATGATTGGAAAAATGCTAAAGTCTTCAAATTCTTAAAAGTCTTTTATGACATAACTTTGAAATTTTCAAGCTCCCTTATTGTAACATCAAATGATTGTTTCCATCAAATTGCTCGTGTTCAGGAGATGTTGCAAAAGCATATTAGAAATAATGGTAATACTTTTTTGGCAGATATGAGCTTTAAGATGCATATAAAGTTTGATAAGTATTAGGGTCAAGCTGATAATATGAATCCATTATTGATTATGGCTATGATTTTGGATCCTTAATACAAATTAGTTTATGTAAATCACATTTTTGAACTCCTTTTTAGTAACCTTGAAGAATGTGCATTAATGATGGATAAGGTTAAAACTTATTTGTATTAATTGTTTGATGAGTATTCTATTAGGGTTT